CCCCCCCCACCCAACTGTAGCCTTCGACTTTTCCTCCACTTTCCTTGCTCTGCCTGACACACTCCCTGTACTCCTTATCGCCACCTGCCTCTACGCCCTTGTCGCCACTTTGCCCGTCTTCCTCAGGCTTCGGCTCACCCAAGGTAAGGTGGAAAAAATATTACCTCCGAACTCTGCACGAAGAGCTGCATGCTGAGTTCAATGAGAGAAGCCAACGAAGCAGGGGGGACCCACTACCCAAAAAAATTTTAAAAAAAATGCTTATTTAGGGTGACCCAGCCCGAATCCAACCCAAAAAATCGAAAAAGTGACTTTTTGTTCAAAGTGAATTCCGCCAAAAGTTATTTTTGGCTTTTTTGTGCTCCTGCCAGTTCGCAAAAGCAAATTTTGTCACTTTAGGTTGTTTTTGCGCTGGGTTCCGAGCAGGTGTGATGGATTTATCTGGCGACGAAAAAATATTAGTGATGAAATCAGGAAATAATGTCAACCAATTTCAATTGGAAGTGAGTTTAGTTTAGTTTTATTGTGGTTTGAGTTTTATATTGTTGTGTTATCCTGGTTCCAGTTGGTTTTTTGAACGGAAGCATATAACTTTATGACTACAGAGATTGGGGGGTGAAGAATCTAGAATGCACGAAGAGAGATGCATTCAATTTTATTCAAAGAGAAAGAAGGGAAATAATTGAACAAGAAGATGTCAATTCTCTAATACAGTCCTTCATGGAGAGACAAGCTTAGGACATAATGTCTGCTTGGAATTTTGAAATCGATGAGTGTGGTAGACTCACAAGTTTTTTTTGGAGCGACGGGTTATTTAGACTTGATTATGATTATTTTATGGATGTAATAATTTTTAATACATGCTATAGATTAAATAAGTATAATTTATGTTGCGCTCCTTTTGTGGGGGTGAACCACTGATCCACCTCAAAATAACTTGTTTTTAGTGCATGTCTTATAAGTCTTTTATATATTTTTTGATTATATTGCACTTTAAAGAGATATATTTTGCATGTTTTTGGTTTCAGGCACATGAAATGAATATTTAGAAAAAATAAGAAAAAAATATAGCAAAAATGATGATTCTTGTGTGGCGTTATAGTGTCACCCCTTGGCGCCATAACACCACTGTCGAGCGAGAAGGGCGCTATAGTGCCCCAGACTGGCGCTATAGCGCTAGTAACTACCTTTCTAGAATAAACATCAAATTTGATCGAAATTTTGGAGGGTTTTCTATTTAATGAGAAGGATTTGGCCGAATTTAGAAACCTTTTAGAGCCTCATAACTTCAATTGGGCGGCAATAGAGAGTTAGGTTTTTCATATTTTATGTTCAAGTACAAATGTGAGTGTGTTTTAGTGTGAAGAAGATTGGAGATTTATTCGAGGAAACTCCAGAAGTTTAGTTGGGGAGAATACAAAAGCTACTTTGTATTTGTGTTTGAGTTTTTGTTGTAAGACTTAAATTTCAATGTAAATATTTTATTTTTGTTTAATCTATGTTTTGTTTTTTTAATCTCTATGAATTCTGAGTTGTTCCCTTTCTTTCTTCTTACATATGAGACTTAATCTTGTGGGATGAGAATAATATAAATATTCTTTTTTACTTTTAAAAATTGTGATGATATTTTCACTGAATCTTCATTTACTTTGCAAACTAGTTATCTGTGAGGTTAAAATCTGTTGAGAAACATGATGACCTGGGAGGGCTATGATTTCACCCAACCAGTGGATATCACATTTCATTCTAGACAGAGCCATTGCGATCACTTAAGAGGGAGTGCAAATAAAGAGAACGATAGGTTTTGATGAGTGTAGAGTTGGTTAGATCTAGGGGGAGTGCAAATAAAGAGAGCAATAAGTTTTGATGGGTGTAGAGTTGGTTAGATATAGGGTGACATACTAGATTCTTATTAGTTTGACTTAAGGTTTAGTACCCTGATGCTGGGATTCGATTACTATGATGGCATATACTTAAGGGATTCTAGAAGTGAGAGTATAGATAGTTCTAATGCGAAGTTGAGATGTTACGGAGCCAGCCTTAAGTTAACAAATGTTCTTTGTTAGCACTAGGAGGGGAAAAAAAGTATGCTTATATTTCTCACAATACCTCAATTTTGTCTTAAACCATTTGAATCCTATATAGATTAAAATCTCTTTGTAAGAGTAAAGATTTTTTCATGATATCCAAACTCATTGTTATATTTTGTTAAACTGTTACATCTAGTTGTTATTCTCTTTTTAAGCTCTTTTAGTAGTAACTTTTAGTAAGCGTATCCTTTTAAATCTTTTATCTTGTTAATTTGTAATTTTAATATAATTTCTGTAAGTTGATTTTAAGAGTTACCGCATTCATCATGGGATCGATACTGTGGTTTTTAAAAAAAAGCTCTATATTACTTGAAAGGAAGCGTATACTTGTGTAGCGGTTTTTAAAAAAAAGCTCTATATTACTTGAAAGGATGCGTATACTTGTGTAGCACCCTTAGTGTGAAAATATATCATATAATTCATAAATCAATGCAAATATTCACACAAACCACTAGATATAAATTGAGATATATTTTATGGTATAATTAAGGAGATTAAAAATACTCTTAAGTGTGGGTTGGGTTAGTACCCCCATGAAGCAGAGGAAGTGTTTCTTCATCTTGGCAAGGAGGCAGAGTATGAAGTTCGAGGACACACAGCGCCCTCCGGTCGCATCCTCATCCCTCGTAGCTCCCAGGAGGGCATGATGTTTTTCGCCCTAAGCTTCAAAAATCAAACTTTCAACACCCCACTCGACACCTTGCTCCGCCGTGTTGAGCCCTTCCATGTCTTCTTCCGCGGTGACCTGTGTCACACTCGCACCCTAAAACAGAACTTGATCCACCATCGCCGCATCATTTTTAGGTCCCACGTCAGCATCTACCAATAAAGAATCGATAATCAAAACCTCAATCACTGAAAGAAAGGAATAAAAAGACTATTCAAACTACATACCAAGGATCCGACCTCACTCAGACGTGGAATAAGAAAAGAGATCCTCACCAGCTTTTTTCGGTCATCCACCTTCCGAGAAGAAGCTGCTCCTAGCCTGGCGAAGCCACAAGTCAGCCTCAAACACCACCTCCTCAATTCTTCTTTGGGGAACCACGACTCCTGTAGTCATTTGGTCAGGTAATCTTTATCTCGCAACAGGAACATTCATCCCCAACGAGTGCCCCACAAGAGGGTCATGTGGACAACCTCTTACCTATCCTACAATCCTCTTATGAGGAGGTCCAACAAGAAGACCCTAAGAAACATGCTAAGTCCTGCGATCGCAGACTTCGTGCTTGGGCACGACTCTCTTCCAGCTCACTCCTTACGTAGATGCCTTACCTGACGTATTGCACTTTACAACTAACTTACGGGCTTGTGCCCGCATGTCACTCATCGCCTTGAGGAGCACACTCTTACTGATGGTGGGACTCCTTCGCTAGACATTACGAAAAACATGTAGAGAGTAAGGCACGAGACAAAGGAATCTAAAGGAACTGGAGCATTGCACATTTACCTTGCCCCAAAGCCTATTTATAATGGCATGGACACAAAAATCTAGGGAAGTCCATTATTGCACAATAATATTGTTTGTTTATTTATTCATTATGTATACTTGATCAAAAAATTCTTTTTTCCTCATGTGCTAGACAACTTGCGAGGAGCAAGAGAATCAGAGAACTAAATATACACACACAAGAATGTGTTGCACGAATCTCAAGGCAGATGGGCGACCCAGGAAGGAGCACGACCGATCGAACGTAGCAAGAGACGATTGTTTTCAAATGAGCAACAATAGAAAAAATATCTCACTGAACGATCAACATAAGATGTCACAAGGAAGCTCCTCAAGGCGCCATCAGACTTTAGAACAATCGATGGGAGAACTGATTCAGACCTTGAATCGATCGAACCCAAACCCACAAGTCGATCGGTATTTATTATCAATCGAATAGATCCCGAACTTTATTAAATTCAAATTATTTTTTAAATTACCAAAATGCCTCTTGAAAGGTTAATGATTATGTGGCTATTATGTACTTTTGTAATATTGAGACTTAAGTCTATAAATAGGTGTCCATATTATGAATAAAGAACACATTTTATTGGTCAACCACTGCACCACACACACACACACACTCTCTAAGAACACATTTTATTGGTCAACCACTGCACCTTGACACACACACACACACTCTCTCTCTCTTTCTCTTAATTGCCTCATAATAGAACATTTCATATCTTTAGCGTGTTTTTTGGACAATCTCGGGTTCAATAGGGGATGATGACACAATTTTCCATAAACTAAGCATTATTTGTCTTGTTTCTCTTACTCTCTTTCATTTCATTCGACATTTCTTGGGTGTAATCTACAAGACAATTTATAATCCACACCATAAAACTTACATATTTTAATGTTTGATTAGATTTAGTAAATTCTAAGGGTAAATTCTATTAATAGAACACTCCCTTATATTAATTTTTCTTTCGGTTTTGTGAACTACTAATTATGGAAAAAAAATATTATTTATTTATTATTATTATTTGCATAAAATATTTATTTTGAAAAAAATATACATGTTGAATTCATTTTAAAATATCCTGCGACATTAGCGTCTACCGCCTCGGCATGAATCCTACAATACTTTCAGACACCAAGATGCCTACAATGGATATAATATTTTATGGCTTGAAAGAGTCCATGGATGCTTTAAATAATCAGAAGCCGTAGAAACGGGTTGGTTCTTCCACTGGTCACGTTTTGTGCGCACTTTCCGTTTGTTTATTTGTCCGGGAAGCTTTAAGATAAGGAGGTCATACTTTTCTTGATCTCGATCGCAGCTCTCTGGAGTCTGTTCGTCAAGCAGACGGTTGAGGAGGACGAACATTGGAGAGAAAGGGGAGGGTTGAATCGGCAGAGTTGGGGTCGAAACAGGGTGATCGGCGTTTCCTTCTCGATCAAAACCCTAGGGTTTTGTTGAGAGCCTGGGTTCTGCTGCCATGTCTGCAGGTGTATGTGGTAAGCGCCTAGGGTTCGAGGAAATCTTCGGATCTCCATCATCGGCCCCATCTGCGAAGAGATCTCGTTGCTCGAGCTACGGTTCTCCTATCCGTCTATCGGAATTCGGATTCGCGGTCGAGGATAAGGTCTCCGTTCTTCTTCGCATGTTCCCGTCTATGGATAGGGAGGTAATTCTCTTATACACCGTTTTTTAATTCTTTTCTATTTATTTGCATAGCATGTATAAATAGAAAAAGCTTCAATATTGCTAATGATTCTAATTTGATGAATTTTCTGATTGTTTACAACTTAAGAAATTAAACACTCTTAAACAACTGCTTGGAGAATAATTGTTGAGCTCCGTTGATTTAAATATTTGTTTCTTAGAAATTTCATCTGAAATTTTAGCTCCTGGTGTTCATGTTCATAGTCCCATCCATATGAAATATTGAGATTTTAAGCGTTGACTTTAGTCCCATACACTAGCAGCAGATTAAAAAACCTATTGCCTGCTTGAAGATAACGTAGGAGCAGTAGAGTACATACATTTGATGTGAATTGCATTTAGCCTCTTCACCCATTATGGTATAATAGCCAAAAGCTAATCTTGTATCTGATAACTTTCTTGCTGCCCCGGTTCTATAATATGCTAATATCGTCAAAAAGTACCAATGATAAATGTAAATGTAAAAATTAAAGTTTAGTTCTTAGATATGTAAATGGATAGGAATTGTGTGGCACATCTATAAATCTTCCATGATAATATTATAAAGAAGGGTGCCTCGAACTGTTTACCTTATTTTACATCTTTTTCTTTTCCAGTGAAATATTTATATGTTGTTTACTAATTCCCATTATAGATTCAAAACTGTTTCATCCATTGATTTTAATCAAAGGAGATACATGCCAATCCCATAATCAAAGCTAACTCAGATTTCTGCTTTTTCAGAACTGGGGTAAGGATTCACCCATTCATTCTACTGGTCTGAAGATCACTAAAGCTTTTTTTTAAGCTTTTAAATAATATTTTTGCTGTTGCATCATGCACTTAGGATATCACTTATTGTGTGAAACTTGAAACTGGCAGGTTTTTAATGGTTGGAAATTTTTATTTTTGATCTACATTATTAGATTCTTATGAAATTCCTTGTGTCAAGCAAAATGCATATACACATTCATGAGGCTTGTCAAATGTAGTTTTTGACAGTAGGAGTTTATGTTATCTGAAGTTCTTATCATATGGAACTGAGCTACAATTCATAATTAAAATTTGATTCTTGTCACAATTATTTCTTGAATATTAATTTTTTTTCTGCTCCCCTGTTAACCTTTTTTTTTAATTTTCTCAAAGTCTCTATCAAGTAATTTTCTGCAACGGCTAGGAGAGTTAATATTTACATGCATTGGTAGGCATCATGGAAGTGATCTGTAATTTGTGATGTTCCATCTAGAATCTTGTAATGTAAAATTGTAATTTTTTTTATTTGTCTTTTGAAGTAGAATCTATATTATCTTTTAATTACAACCAATGTTGTATAGGTTGTAGAAACTGTTTTAAATTCCCATGATCATAAGATTGATGATGCCATCAAGAGTCTCCATGCACTTTGCCTTCGCGACAATTCAATTAGGGGTGAACCTGTGATTGGGAGCTCAGAGTTTGAATCCAAAGAAAATGGCATTGAAGGTTAGAAGCAGTCAACATATTAATCTTCGTATATATATATTTTTTTTGTTGGTTTGTTACTTGCTTTTGCCTTACTGGATGTTTATCTGCATTATTTTGGTAGGTGTTAAGGATGCTCAAATACCTGAACTGAATGGTGAGGTCATTCATAATGTTGAATCCGATTCCAAGTCAAGGGAAATTCATGGATCCTCTTGGGTTGACGTACTGGTGCAAGAAATGATGAATGCTTCTGATTTGAGTGATGTTAGATGCCGAACCATGAAGATTTTGGAGTCTTTTGAACAGATGGTTGTTGCTCATTCTAATGCATCAAAGGAGGTAATTACTTGAGCAGTTTTAGTATTTTTTTTGTGTTTGGGGAACTATTTCTTCTGTAAAATTCTGCATATGCACGAGCATTATGTTATTATTTGTCTTTTTATTTTAATTGGGGGCAGCAAGAGATTGCTTCTCTTAAGGAGCAACTGCAGTGCTTGTTAAGAGACAACCAAATCCTGAGGAGGGCTGTTGCAATACAGCATGAACGTAATTTAGAATTGGAGGAGAAGGCAAAAGAAGTACAGCAATTGAAGAATATAATCAGTCAATACCAAGAGCAACTCCAAACATTGGAGGTAACTTTTAGTACTTCTCAGCTCAGTTTTGCTTTTTATAAATTATTACAAACATTGGAGGTAACTTTTAGTACTTCTCAGCTCTTTTTATAAATTATTGAATTATTACATGTTTGGTAGTACAATTTGAGGACAGGAGTTGCACGTCATTGTGGGCTTTGGATGGAATTGAGCTTTCTTTTATCAGCTTAAGTGAGACCTAGTTTACTGTGATGATTCCGTCGATGCTAGCTTTGTTAGAGAAATTTGTGGTGGGCTTGTTATTTTTGGTGGGTGTCTAGGTGTGTAGATTGGGAAACTTGTCCAAATAAGTTTGTCACATTTTCTATTTTGGAACTAGTAAGTATTATTAATTGACGTGGCAACTCAAGCTGCTCTTGGTTATATGTGATTCATGGTTTCAATTTCGATAATATGGCAATTCTGTTCAGTTCCTTGAGTGTTGTTTGCCTGAAGTATAGTTAATTAAAATTTATTTTCCATAGCTTTCTATCATTCTATTGCATTTAGGGTCTTTCAGTAAATGTTTTCTGTTATATAATTTATTTTATAATTTATATTATCAGAAATATTTGTTTTGATTTTATATCTTTTATGAGGTGATCTCATTGACATAATTAATGATAAGTAATGCCAGACACATTTTGGTTATTCTAATGCAATCAAATTTATCCTTGTGTGAAACCCCCGAATTTGCTTCTAGAAAGTAACAATCCTATAAACTATCAAGTAAAGCAAAAATTAATTTCTTTCTTTGTAAACTTGATAATACGAGCTGGATAATAATTTAATGATCAACTAAGAAGAAAATTTAAGGAGAAATTAAAAAGTTACTGTTAATCACAGATTCATTAAAATAACCCTTAAAAACCTCTTGTAACAGATTTGGTTAAATCAAAGAACATCTGTAAAATTGAATATCAAGTTACATAGAAAAAAATAAACATTGTGAGATCACCAAGCACATGAAGTTTAGTCCTCACGTCAGTGCAAAGAGATGACTCAATCTAAAAATTGAGATACTCCCTTGCACCACACTCAAATGAATTAAAATTAAATAAAGCACACAAGGAAGACTGCTGAAAATTTTGTTAAGCTAGAAAATTTTCACACATGCGTAGGATTATTCTATCTGTATGCTTCATATGTAAACCCTAAAGTCCGCTACCTCAAAAGTTTGAGATCGATTCAAAGCCAGCTTTGAATTCACATGGATATTAACTCAAGTGCAAGTCCAATTTGATGTAAGACGAAAATGGTCTAACTTATATCTAATGGAAGTATGCTGTAGGGTGAATGAGATTCTAACTTACATAAGTTGTAAAAGATGTTTCGTTTAAGTTCCTTGGGAAAGTTAGTGAAGTCATTATTGATATTCCACTATTGGATTCACTTAGCACATATTGATTTACCTTGAGATGAACTGTGGTAATGCAAGAGGTTATGTTAACTAGACTGAGTTTTCTAACCATGATATATCAGGAAACAATACTTTATTAGCAGTGGACAAATCATGATGGAAGTTGCTGCTTACTTCTCCAAGAGCTTGTGTAATCTCTCACAAGCAGTTGGTTTCTTTGGTCAAAAGCACACGAAGATAGTCACACTAAATGTTAAAGTGATTTGCTAAACTTTATTGCTTTAAAATCGATCTGCACATCCCTTAAAAATGGGTATATATAACACTTACAAGGGAAAATTAGGATTCATTAGGTTGTGGCTCTCCATGCATTTTGTATAATTTGAACATCATTGTATGGTTTCTAAAGGTTTAAGGACTTGTGGGATAGAGGAGTCTAAAGGGTTTTCATTAAGTTAATGGAGGGAGGAGAGAGGAGAAATGTGGGGTTTGTGTTTGGCATTATTGCCAAAATATGTTGTACAGGTCAATTAGTGAGGTGGCGGTCAACTTGTTAAAATATGGCCAAAAAGGCTTATAAAGGGGTTTATTACCTTCGACCTTTTTGGATTTTACGAACTCTAAATACAGAAAGCTTATGCGACTCTTGATACTAATACAATTGTTTGAGAAGATAAAATTGGCTCATTGGCGTTAACTCTGAATTGAAAATAAAATATAAAATAGAATTAAAAGTATTGTTAATGTGCTAACTTATGACATTTTTTTCAACTCTGGCAATAAGGAGCGTGTGAGTTAATTGATCATTCTTTCTTTTAAAACTACAAACAATTCTCTTATCGTGAAATTCATTTATTTTTAGTTAAATCTAGCTCTTTTTTTTGCATATTTTTTTAGTATTTTTACTTACTTTTCTTGTTTTCATTTTAAAACTACAAACAATTCTCTTATCGTGAAATTTATTTATTTTTAGTTAAATCTAGCTCTTTTTATGCATATTTTTTTAGTATTTTTACTTGCTTTTCTTGTTTTCAAGTTGGTTTACTTACTTTTCTTGTTTTCAATTATTCTCTTAGAACCACAAACCATTATAATAAATTAAAAAACTATTAATATGAAAAGCTAGATAAATAAAAAAAGGGTCAAAAAATAAAAATAGTTAAAAGAGAAATAAAAATAAATATATTTACGATCTTCTCATCTGTCGAGGGCTTTAGTATTTGTTCCAAGGTTTTGATACTATGTAGGTTTTGAGAATTTAGCGGAATGCTTTATTGGTATGAAGGGGATTATGAGTACGGTTTATATGAATCATAAAATAAGAAAGAAATAACACATATATCTTTAAGATTATAATTAATCAATTTCTAATAACTTTCAAGAGATAAAAGGAATAACATAAAGTACGAAGGACATAAGACATATATCTCCAAGATTACTATTAATCAATTCTTAATAACTACCGGAAACAAAAGGAATAACATAAAACATGAAATACATAAATCTTAATAATATAAAAGGAAATAAATCAATACTAATAACTTCTAACTAATATAGTTTAAAAAGATTGGTCATAGGTTATGATACAAGCTCTCAGCCAACTTTCTATTGAACTAAATACATTATATTTCGCTGTACATTATATTTCACTGCTAAAAAATGAAAAACACCTTTTCAAATATATATTCATGTACGTGTATATATGTGTACTGATTGATTACGATATGTAAGCAAAATAATCTTTTAAACTTGTGTTGCAGTTGAACAACTATACCCTGAAGATCCATCTCCAGAGGGCTCAGGAAGCAAATTCCATTCCTGGCCGTTTTCATCCAGATATATTCTGATTGCTTACTAACTTGGAATTTATCCCCACCAATGGAGTGTCCGTATTCATCACAGGTGTTAATTATTTAAGGAATAGAGTTGGCTTCTGAAGCTGGTAATTTGCACTATATAGTCCTGTTTATGCGTCTCTTCAATTATCTATTTATTTTCTGTTAAGCTTTGGTTGTAATACTGCAAATCATTATTTTGGTTTTCTGCTGATGGAAGCACCGTTATTTATGCTTATTTATCTCTCTTCTCCCAAGGAGTTTCTATAATTTAAGGGCGGCTGTTTGGAATCAATTTTGTTTTTGTGTTATCTATTTTTGTTTTTAGAAAAACATAAAAAATAATTATGACTTTATATAATACTATTTAAAAATAAAGAAAACAATTATTTAAAGGTTTTGAGATTACTCATTTTCATATAATAATCAAATAATCAAATACAAGACGTATAATTAAGATAATGAAAGATTGAAATCTTAGCAGAATTTAATTTCTTTCATTATAAAATTAGTTTCAAACAAATAGCAGCTTTATTAAAGTTTGTAACAATGACTGATGGTGCAATATAGGAATCTATCTTGACCCATTGAGAAAATCTTTCCAGCCTTGCAAAGACAACACCAGTGACAAATGTTAAATGTCTTATTTTCTGAAATAATTAATATAATTTTGTTTTAAATAAAAGGATTTGTTGATGCCCCTTGCATCAAGCAACAAAGCAGCTTCCATCACCCTATTTAACAAGAAAAAGAAAATTAAGAAGAACAACTGCTATATAAACAAATTTTAGCAGTCAGCAAAGCCCATTAGTCCTCAATATGAATAATAAATTCATTATATAAATATATTATTTGTATAATAAAAAGAATTTCAGTCTTCCATTTGACTCCAAAATGGCATGCAATAACAGTGCAGTGCTGAAGCTCTACCGACTTATGTGTCTTTTTAACCCCATCATTCCAAGTTCTCTTCCAGCTTAAAATATTGTCGCAAAAGTTAGATAAAAAATCAATCTCAAATCATTAAGGAACAGGAGCATGTTTCAGTTGTTTTCAACGTTTTAAAAGGTAAAGATGAATCCATTCAATAATCACAACAACTAAAGAGGGAATACACAAACATATTTTTTGTGATTTTTTTAAACAAAAATAGAAAAAAATCCATACACGCCCACGCTTTATAGAAACAATTTGGGTGTATTAAGGTATTTGTTGATAAAATAAAAAAAGGCAAAAAAATAAAATAAGAAAAAAAAAAAAAACTTTTATTAATGCGTTCATAGAAGGAAGAGCATCAAAACCTAATTTGCAGCGAATAAAATCTTTTGATTTGCATGCATGGCTCTCTCCAACATTTTTGTAATCTACCAAAGGGCTTATTCTCAACCATTGGACTCCTCGGTTCAAACCCAAACAGATTAGACGCTAATTCTCTAACACCACGTAGACTGAATATTTGAATTGCCACATTTGGGATGTAACTTCATTATTAAACAAATCATCTAATTAATTCAAAACATATCTTTCCTATTTGAGTTAAGATGGATAAATTGTAGAAGATAATATAAATGATTTCATAATAAAGAACTTGGTTTCATTAAAATTCTGTGCCACAAATATTTTAAGAAATTCAAATCATATACCCTGCTTTTTTTTCTATTATTTTTTCTAAACTATATTTGGAAGAATCATAGCCGAGTAAAACCTCATCCATGTTAAGAAAAATATAATACCAGAAAAAAAAATCAATATTTAATAATCTTAATTTAATTAAATATCACCAAATTCTTATGTTTATATATCTAACACCTATTTGCTTCTCATATTTATACAATCAAATTTATTCATATCACAAAAAAAATATCACTATGTTAACTTTTAAAATGTGAAATGCATATTTTAATGTATAAATATGATGATCATGATCATGATCATATATATATCTATATCTATATATATATATCTATATATATATATAT